CTGTAGGCGCCTGAGACTCCTGTCCACATCATTGTAACGTTTAAGAGGTAACATCCTGGAGCTGCCACCCCCACCTTTCCCTTCACCTCCTATAGACGGCGTGACCTATAGTGTATCACAGTCGTGTAAAACATCAGCTAAAATGCTCAACTTTGTTTGACACAAGCAAATTTCAGAGCAACGCTCTTTTAAGAGTGGGCGCTTTGTTCCTGAACCAGAGGCCAATGACAAGCAATGCTGGCCTTCGTCTAGTTCTCCTCAGCTGTGATTGCAAGAGAACCTATGATTCCCCGGTGGATCACCGACTTCACAAACGCCTCACTGCTGTTTTACAATCTTATCTCTCTGGGAATCAGCTTACAATCTGTATCATCATCATCTTCCCTCCCTCTCTCCTTCTACATCTGTCATCCCTCCTCTTTTTCCATGCTTGTACTCTGTGTTTACTGCCACGATTGAAAATTGAGTCATAACTTCCTGACGGCACTGTTTAAAGGTCACCCCCCCCCCCCCCCCTTCTTCTCTCTCTTTCTCTCCATTTTCCCAGCCTCCTTTCCTCCCCCTCTCTCTTTTGGGAGGCCCCTCATCCAACACGCCCAGCACTGCATTCCACAGACGGTGGGACCACCTTCAAACGCTGCACATGCACCACTGGCGGCGACACGTAGGGCGACTGAGCCCCAGCCTCAGCTGCCACCAGGCCTCAGCACTGGGCTCAAGTCCCTGCCACGCAGCGCTTTGATTGGGGGAGAAATTGCAATGTAGCAGCAGCAGAGTCTCCGTGATGACAAGGAAAAACAACTGTAGCTCCGAAAGAGCAGAATGATAACAACACAGTCACTTTCATTCTGCTGAAACCAGCTCCAAGTAAAAAGCCTCATGCCAGAGTGGGGCCTCTCGTGTCTGTGCTGGGAGGATGGCAGCTGTGATCGTGGGGCGCAGGCCTCAGAGCACCTATTCGTCTGACCCCCAAATCCTTAAGGTCTAGTACACCGACACACGGCTCCAGTTTCACCCTCCCAAGGCTCACTATGAGCTTGGCTCGCAAAACAATAATGTTCTTGTACATGGTCACACACCACAACATGTAAAATATACAGTGCTGTAATGAGCAGTCAATGAGTCCATAAGGTGACAGACACAAATTCAAAGGATTCCAATCTTGACTATTTCCCTACTAAAGATTGACTTATATCTTTGCAAAGATCATGACGCATTATATATTTAATTTCACTTCTGAATGCAGTGTACAATAGTACACAGTAGTCATTAAAAGGGCCACAACTTATTAATTTTTGATACAAGCTGCAACAAGTTTTAAAATGTATCGTTACGATAGAAATGAGTCCTCTAAAAATCAATAATGTACTGGATGTTTTAATTACAATTTACCCCTAAATAATTACAACATTGTACGATGCAGTATAGTAGAATACGTGTCTTAAAAAATAATTACACTGCTGACTATAAAATCTATATATTTGAACACACCTGAGCACAATTCAGAGCAGTATTGACGAACTATACTTGATATCTGACCTGTATCAGAGACACGCGGACGTCCTCTTGTCAGCTCCCATAACCTGCTCTGCTGTGTTTGATCTGGGAGTGCTGCTGGGTCAGTGGTGGATGGTGTTACTGCTTCTCACCTGAAGCACAGACAGACAACATACAGTTTTTATACCAAGTGAAATAATAGGCCCAATAAAGATCAAGATAGCAGTGCAGTCTACGTGTGAACTAAAAAAAAAACATGCAGATTCACAGACACAAGAGCAATGAAGTGAGCTACTTCTCATCTTGATAAAATATAAATAGCACATGAGTACTGTACACCAACTCAATGTTTGTGAAAATAATCAAAGAATTTTGGTTCCAGTATACTTAGAATAAAGCAATAATATTATCAGTCAAGCAATATCTTTCACCACATTAAATTATTGTCTGTCTATCACACCAATAGAAGATCTTTGGTTTTGGAAATTTGAGGACCCTACATGCTACAGCTGTCCTGCTTTCATGTGTGTGTGATCAGAGACAGGTAGGCATACGTCTCTCCTGTCGGCTGGGCTCCATTGTTAGTCTCCAGTCCTGCCCGCCTGCTGTGATTATCAACTCACACATCTGGATGGACTTAGTCAAGGAATCCTATAAAGAACCTAATGGGCTCTTCTAACATTTTTGAAGACTGATTAAGAGCCGTTTCAGAACTTGTTCACATCAATGAGTTCCATCTGTGATTTGTTAAAGTTGTCACTGAATTAGTTATCTACGTTAGGCCTACTTGCTCCCTGTCACCGTAATGAGGGTTTAGGGATTTAGGGGACACTTGCATGCTTTCTTAGTAGTATGCAAGGCGGCTGAATATTTGCTGATGGGGAGGGTCAGATACTTAAATAATAAACATGGAGGGTTGCTCCATCACTGTCACACTGAGCATACATGGAAAACAGTTGTTTCTGTACCATGAAAACGATCCCAGCTTCCTTAGCATACTTGAGGATGCTTAAAAACTCTGACAAATAGCTTGTTGTCTTAAGTCTTGTCTTCCAACAAAATGTATTCTCAAAACACGTTTGCAAACTTTTGTCATTATTAGGTGTCAGTCACTTTTAAGTAAATTCCACTATCTGGAGTCACGCCAGCTTGAAAGGCAAAATTTACACCTTGAGTATTATTAGCTCAGTTACAGCCAGCTCACAGTCTGGCGAAGTAGCAAGCAGGACACGCTTTTAAGGCCATTTTGGCTTCCAATAGTGTGACCCTTGTGTTTTATGGGGGAGGCTAACACCATGAACTACATTTGTTACAAATTAGGCTTCCTAGTGCCGTAAAGTTGACACCTGCCACTTCAAAACTTTTCAAAAAGAGGACGGCCGTTGATAAACGGCTAGAAAGAAAAAGCTAAATTAATACACATTCATTAGCACGGCTGGCTAACTAGCATTAATGTCCACCTGCTCAAACCACTGCAGATTAATATTACTTAGCTACAGGCACTCAAGGTGAGCCATAGCTTTGCCTAATATTTAGGCTTGTGTGGCACAAACTATTCAGCTGGGACCAGCAACAGCACAAATTGTCGTGCAGACTTCCTTTGTAACAACCCTAACAAGAATTGAACAACTCGTTAGCTGCTACAGGCATTCGTCAAGTATCAGTTATGACGTAACTATGAGGAAAGCGTCGAAAGTGCGCCTTTGCGCCTCGCGCTGTGACGAAGAACCCACGCAACCAATCGGAACGAGGCAGGCAGCCAGGCACGGAAGTAAAAATTGAGGAACATTGAATTGCATTGTTGTAAAATTTTATTGACAAATCATCTGATTTACTTCAAGAATTTAATTTAATTCAACATTGTTTTATTTTTATTTGAATCAATGAGTACTTAAGGACAAGTGCAACAATATGTCTTCCCACAGTTACGGCCAGAAGCTGTCTCCTCATGGATAGCTAATTTTAATGGTTGGTTAACCTTTGATTGGGGTAAATACATTTAGGTTTGGGTGTCTTATAGTTTAGGGCAAGGTTTTTGTCACTGACCATAACTATAGTGGCATCTATATGTTTGGAAAACATTAGCTGCACAAAGCACTCAAAAAAGGACAATGACTACAACACATTTAAAGCTCCAGTTGATGAATGGACCCGATCAATGGCAGATGAACTATACTTCATGCACAGACCCAGTGTGCTCTAGTGGTATTGTGCACATCTGTTTACCTCAGCATTTTAATCAGTTACCAAAAAAAAAACAATACAGTCAAGTTCATGAAGTGAGCCACAAAAACTATCAAGCATATTTACAACCGGGTAATGTTGATAGTGATATGACTAAACTTTTATTTTGTTCATCACAATGTAACATAGCTTTGAACCTGCAATAACTAGTTTATTTTTGGCCACCTGTGGGCAGCAGATTCAGCTTGGTGATTCTCTGGAGGTTCATAACTGCAGAGACGTTGTCACATTGTTCTAATATTGCCATTTCACACATTGTAAATGGAGAAAATTCTAACTGTAACCGCATTAATGTTATCTTTTCCCCAAATTATTGGCGCATAAATACCTTATAAAAGGCACCAGTATTCATTGCCAGTCATCAGAGATTAAAAGTAACTAGATTTACTCGAGTATAGTAATTTTACTTCACTACATTTATCTGACAGCTAGAGATACTAGTTACTGGGCATGTTAAGACCATATATTTGCAAAAAATAAGCTCACAAATATGTAGTATTAGTGTAATTAGTGTATTAGTGTAGAGTGAATTGTCATAACTGTTAGCTCCACCTTAACTTCCACATTAAAATGCATCAGACACCTTAATGCATCAGAAATAATATAATAAATATAACACTTTTGATACCTGAGTACATTGGACTGGCAATACTTTTACTTCAGTAAGAATTTTAATTAAAGTAGGACTATTATTTGTGACACAGTATTATTTTTGTTACATTGTTGTGGTGCATTTAAGTAAAGGATCTGATCATAGTACTTATTTCCCAAATGCCAGCCATTGACATAAAACAATTGTGTTAATTAGAGTATGGTATGAATCAATGAGGGACACGTCGCGCCCAGTCAGGGACAGTGCATTTTATTTTTCAATACGGGAGTGGTAACCCTACAGTGCCGGTAGGAGTCCCTCAAAGGGGTAGGCGGCCAATACCATCGTTTGACCACAAGGTGTCGACAAAGTCAACGTTGCTTTACAGTTACCGTTGCCTTTAGGTGCTTCTCGTGATGTCGGATTTCTGGGTTTATATGCATGTGAGTTTTGGATTATCTTTAAAGGCATGTGTTGTGGATTATTTTCGAATGCAACTATTCATCAAAACTATGATGAATAGATTTTGTTTTAAAAAACAAAGATACTGCTCACACCGTCCTATTTGATACACCCTTCGTTCCCGAAACCAACGTTTTAACTTTTCCGACAGTCTTTAAAGTAACAATAAGTCCGGATATGACCGCATAACCACAGGAACCAAACTTCAGCTAGTAACGTTAGCTGTGTCCGTAGCATAACAGCTCCGCTATCGGAATTCAAAACAAAAGCTGTCGGAAGCACGTTATCTTGTTCATCACCGATTTCGACGTTAATATGGAGCTGTAGGCAGAATTTATAAATAAAGGTAAAAGTCTGAGTTTCATTCTTGTACATGTGGAGAAAGAATTATTTTGGGGGTAATGTTAAGGTTACCGCTAACGTTAAAGTTAACGTTATTTAGCTACATTGTTTTTCCTTAGCTAGCAGTAACAGTCTATAAACGGTTACTTTTTTCAATTTGACACAAACGTTGATCTTTCTATACTTCTATGATTGAAGAATTCTATATTTTACGATTAAGTACTTGAATTGTAGCCCACTAACGTTACAGTGGCAGGAGCAGAGTTGACGAATTGTCGTGTTGTCTGCAATCTATCGCTAGATAAGTGGGACATGAAGAGGATGAAACCGCAAACTAGCTAATGCTAACCTTCCCCGTCATATTCCACACAGTTTGGACTAGCATAGCGTTACTAGTTAGACTCCTCTAATGAGTTTCGTGAAGATTGAAGTGACTTGCTGTCCAACACACACATTTTGACAGGTTGAAAACGTTGCCATCCTCATCCCCTTTGTAATCAACATCAAATCTGGCATGACACTGTCTCCCTGACTATTGATCGTTTGCCTTTCAGTGTTGAGGAATGGTCTGACTGCAGCAGCACCAGTAAAGATGCACAGCCGTCTGCAGGAGTTGAAGAAGGAAGAGGAGACTCTCCTCAAAATCAAAGTCATGCTACAAGACCAGCTGAACAGGTTGAAGGTGAGCGAGAGAGTTCACAGACTGAGGTTGTGTCAATGTTTGTGGTCCCTGTGGTTTACATATTGTGTATTCACTCTGTGTTTCAGTTTGAAGAAGGAGCCTTGAAATCGATCATTAGTGCTCAAACAGAAGAAGGAGACCCTCAACGATCTTCCCCAGAAACTGAGGTGAAGCACTGCCACAGAGAACATCAGGGACTACCCTGCTAAACACTCAGGAGTCCCCATCTGTCTTAAGATATTCTCAGTAATAGTTCTGCTTGTGTTTGTTGATTAATTCACACTTAAGCTGGCTTGTTGAAATTGAAGATCAGATGTAGTCACTACTACTAGTACTCTACACTAGTCTTGCATTTATATTTCTACACAAAGGCCAGGTAACGCAACATAATAACCTTAAGATAGGAGAATGGTAAGCATGCATTCATCTGATTAATATAAGGCCCCAGTTTACATACAGTAGGACCAAGGTCTACACAGTCATGTCACTTTTAATCCCTAAACTTAATCTGATTCTTCCGGTGCACGTAAAAGCACTGACTAAATCATTTTGGGACTGTTTTTGGTTTGATTGTTTTAGTCAGAAACATATGAGCCTTCTAAGGAAGCTTGTTTGCGTCATTCAGCGATTGAGATATTGAATTACGTAAATAATAGGATTTTTACTTTGTTTACTATATTGATGATGTTCTAAATGCAAAGACATACTACTCCAGCTAGACGTGCACTCACATTTTTTACTTGTGTTTTGTCATGAAAATATATTGGTTCCCAGATTAATGTTAAATAACGTAATTATGTTTTATTAAGGATGTTTCCTGTTCTCATAACTGTTTTTAAAGTTTTGTCTTGCACACAGATTTCCTGCTTTTTTAAGATTTCATTTCAAACAGGTTCATGTTTATTATTTGCTTTCTTTGTTTCAGGTTCATATTAACCTTGACGATGAGAGCGAGATCAATCAAACCAAACTGCTACTGAACGCCGCTGTAGATTTTGATATGGAAGAGGAAGATGATGAGGAGGAGGATGAAGAGGATGAGGATGATGATGATGAAGAAGATGACAATGAGCTTGGGTTTGCGCCTGAGGACGATGAGGAGGAGGATGATTACTGAGATTCTCAATATTTGCACCACTGAAGAAGAACCACATGTAAACGGACATCTGTTGATTTGTTTACCCGTTTATCACTTATGGAGTTTAATTTATTTGGATGGAGTGAGTTACACTTACAGTTTAACATGTGCGTGATTCCAGGCTTGTCATCCACAACATGGTAGAATTCATGTGTCAAATTTTGTGAGAAATGTCTCACTAAAATGCAGTAAGACAGTGTTATTAGGTGCCTATAGTTTACTAGACATATTGCATTTCGAGGATTAGCATTAAAATGTATGGCTGGGCCATATAAGAAGATAGTGTGTATGTACGAGATGATAATTGTAAGCACAAAATAAAATGTTTTGCATAGGGTTCATCTGACTGATCTGACATCTTTTACAATGTACACTTGTTTTTCAGATGTGATGAATGTTTACTTATTAAGAGGATAAATCAGATTTTCGATTATGTAAAATTGTTCTAACCTGACCCAAGAGAATGGGTAATGCAGTGCAAACACTTTCTACCGGCAAACCATTCAGCATTTTCTAAACAGCTAAAACAATACAGTGAGCCTCACAATACGGCCAGCTTTTACAGTGACAGCAGGGACCGCTCTGGAGAAGGGTGGTGCTACAACAGGCAACATACAATAGAGATTGCACCAATAGATATATTCAGCTTTCTACATGCTGTGCTGTTCCAGGAGAGCTCCCATTCACCCGGGGACTTGAGCTCAGCACACGCACCTGCTGCAAATTAATTCTTCATAAGGCACACAGGTAATCGGACATCAAATACCGGACCTAGGGAATCAAATGTTATGGAGTGATGGTTATGGATTGTGCACGAGTAATTTAAAAGATAATTTGCAGTCAGAATACTTAAAAGAAAAATGCTTTTGTGAGAAATTCTATATCTTGGAAAAATCTAAGGTAAACAGGACTGTGTTTAATTATTAGTATTCATAATTTGTAGGAATTCTTGAGACTTTTTAGGTTATATGTCTACCATATTTCTGATTCAAAATTCCCAAAATGTATCACAATGCAATGTCTTCAATTTAGCATTTCCTGACAATGCATATGTATCACGCCGATTGCAGAATTATTAGACTATAAAACTGGCGTGTGATATGCTCCTGAGTGCCTGGACGCAACCATGACAATGTAACAAAGCATTCATTTCATTATAATTGTCAAATGATGAGGTAATAAAAGTTCCCATATTGACTTAAAGTCCGCATGTGTTGAAAGTTTCATCCAATGTCATGTGATTGTGCACTGTAAATATATCAACCTCTCTAACATTAACTTTGCTTACAGAGGTGAAACCGTAGTTTGTATGGGATCTGTCTGCCTCAGCAGGATGAGCTCACACTCCATTGAGTTTGAAAAGGGGTGTTTGGCTCTGCGTTAGGGATGCAGGCCCCCCCCGTAGTCCATCATATTGGATGCTTTCACACCGTTTGATGACAGTGACTATATCCAAACTTTTTTTTTTTTAACAAAAGAAAGGTGTAAGCATGTGTGTATAGGTGTCTTAGATACAACAATATGTTTTCTCCAGACCAAGCTTGTTATTGTGATAAAGAGGTGATGCTAAATGGTTCTCCTCTGTGTGCAAACGACAGTAAGGGACTGGAGCAGAACCAGACAGTGACTGTGCCGCAGGCTCAGGAGTACCATGCTGCCCCGCTGTGCATTCAGTGTGTGTCATGTGTTTGTGTTGGTGCTGTGTCTGTCTTCGGCTGAGGACTTCGACTGGACAAAGAACGGCCACAGCTCCTTCTATTATGGCACTTTTCCAGCTGGTAAACAAAAATTGCTCTTTTGCTCAGTGGGATAGTGGCAGTACATTTTAAGAGCTGGTTATCTGGTTGTTGCCATGTATGTATTTATTAGGATTTTCGTGGGGTGCCGGCAGTTCAGCCTATCAAACAGAAGGAGCCTGGGACAAAGATGGAAAAGGACTGAGCATCTGGGACGTGTTCAGTCATAAGAAAGGCAAAATCCAACAAAATGACACCGGGGATTCCTCCTGTGAGGGCTACCACAAAATCAAGGTGGGGTGATCAGGTGTGATGTGTCTGAGAGATATAGAGAACAGAGGGGGTCAAAAATAAATCTGAATATTTCACTCCATTGTCTGTGTGTTGTACAGGATGATGTTTCTCTGATAAAGGACCTGAAGCTTAACCACTATCGCTTCTCCATATCCTGGCCTAGACTCATCCCCACTGGCATAAAGTGTAAGTAACTGCTGGTAATTCAAACTTTTTGGAACTGAACTGGCATAAATGATTTAATTTGTTAACAGCTTAAACTATCGACACTTAAATACCATTTGCAGCTGACCATATAAATGAAAAAGGAATACAGTACTATGATGAGCTGATTGACCACCTGTTGGAGAGCAAGATCACTCCCGTTGTTACCCTGTATCACTCGGATCTTCCACAGGTTGGTATGCAAAACACTGATAATCCCTAATGTAAGACCTTTTGCATTACATGACTATTCTTCTTTACCGAGTTAATGTACTCTTTGCTTTTCTAGGTCTTACAAGAGAAATATGGTGGATGGCAGAATGTTAGCATGGTCAACCATTTCAATGAATTTGCAAACCTGTGCTTTGAAAGATTTGGCAAACGAGTCAAGTACTGGATGACTTTCAACAATCCATGGGTAGGTTGAAAATCAATGATTTGCAGGTTTTACATTCACACCTGCCTTGTAACATATGATTCGTCGTCATTATAGAGCTTGGATGTATATGTTTCTACCTGTTATAAGTACTCTTATCACACTAATACTCCATAAACTGCGAACCTGCTTCAGTCTGTAGCAGTTGAAGGCTATGAGACTGGTGAGCATGCTCCTGGACTGAGGCTGAGAGGAACAGGGGCATACAGAGCTGCCCATCACATAATCAAGGTGAGACAATATGTATATATATATATATATATATATATATATATATATACAGTAATAAAAAACAGGAATGTGCCACTTTGAACTGAAATGTAAATCATACTCATAATAGCAATCTTTTTCATAGGCACATGCAAAAGTTTGGCACACTTATGATACACAATGGAGGGGGAAACAAAAAGGTAAACAAGGTCAAACTCTTGAAAGTAACTTAATTCAATATTTGCCTCTCAACAGTACTGTCTGTCTCAGTGTTGACAGCTCTTGTCCTCACCTGCAGGTCTGGTTGGCATCTCTCTGTCTGCGGATTGGGGAGAGCCGGTGGATATCAGCAACCAGAAAGACATTGAAGCAGCTGAGAGATATGTCCAGTTCTACCTGGGCTGGTTTGCCACACCCATCTTTCATGGAGACTACCCTCAAGTGATGAAAGACTTCATCGGTAAGTTGAGTTGTAAGCAGTTAATCTTGAAGTAATATTTGGTGTTTGGGGAATTAACTAATCACTACTTGTGTGTACAGGAAGGAAGAGTAACCAACAAGGCCTCGGGACGTCCCGCCTGCCCACATTTTCCTCCCAAGAGAAGAGCTACATCAAGGGGACGTGTGACTTCCTCGGCATCGGTCATTTCACCACCCGCTACATCACCCAAAAGAACAACCCATCAGTTCGTAGTAGCAGCACCTACTTCACTGACCGTGACCTGGCTGAGCTGGTTGACCCGCGATGGCCTGACCCCGGGTCAGAGTGGCTCTACTCTGTGCCGTGGGGTTTCAGACGTCTGCTCAATTTTGTCAAGGTGACTTATGGTGAATAGTGAATCATGCAGAACAGGCTTGTTGACGTTTGTGTGGAAGCTGAAATGATCTTAGCACACTGCCGCCCTACTTAAATGACATGAAGGCAACTCATTGCATATTGATTTGTTCCCCATCTAGTCTCAGTACGGAAACCCAATGATTTATGTGACAGAGAATGGAGTCTCTGAGAAGATGTTGTGCACAGAACTGTGTGATGACTGGAGGATACAGTATTTTAAAGACTACATCAATGAGATGCTGAAAGGTGAATGGGCTCATACATGTCTTGTTTGGTAATTTGGGGCAAATGTATTCAAAGTCCAATCCAATTTTTGCGGTTAACTCTTTCTCTGTGGTGCCACTCAGCTATCAAAGATGGAGTCAATGTGAAGGGCTACACCGCATGGTCCCTGCTGGACAAGTTTGAGTGGGATGAAGGGTACTCCGAGAGGTTTGGCTTGTACTATGTGGACTTCAGGAACAAAAACAAGCCCCGCTATCCCAAAGCTTCTGTCCAGTTTTACAAACGCGTCATCAGCTCCAATGGATTTCCCAATCAGAGAGAGGTAAGAGACATAACGTGATCACTACAAAGTCCGGCCTCTCATCCTTTCCAGACACACTTTTGAGATAATTGTCTAAAAAAATTAAGATTAATTGGTTAATGCTCTATTGTGCTACAAAAAACTTGTTTTAGTGGTGATATGCGATTGTAAATCCTTGCAGGTTGAGAACTGGAGGAGGAAGGCGGTTGAGATGTGTTCCTCAAGCAACCAGCTCCTGGCTGCAGGTCAGTTTGTCTAGAGCATCGCTGTCCATGTTTATCAATGATCAGTGGTGAACAACTAGCTGGGGTAAACAAATAAAGATTCTATAAATAAAAAGAAATATCCAAAGCATTGTCAACATTTTTTAAATGCAAGTAAGATCAAGAATTGACTTGAATATGTGTTGCTGCACCTCAGAAAAACACATGAACAAATTATTAGCTAAAAAGAAAAATCTCGAACAGAATATCTGAGATTTCTACTTTGTTTGCCCCCCCAGCTAGAAGAAAATCCAAGGAACATGCAGAAATGCCAAAGGTTTGGCCAGTGCATGATGAAGTTTAGAACTTGAGGGTACATGTCGTCCATTAATGTCCGTTTTTGGTTGTTGTTGCTTTGTGATTGTGCTGTATTAAATTTGACTAACAGAATAAGCCTCTGCAGTTTAACACTAAGACATGCCTCTGAAACCAGCTTGTACTCCTTGCGTACAGTGTGCAACTATGTCTTCATTTATCTGAAGTTTTACTAGTGTGCTTGAATCTAATCTGCAAGCAGCTTTGACAAAAACTCAATAAGCATAAAGCTTATCTGTGGACTTGTGCCCACAGGGTGTTTCACAAAGCAGGATTATATATGAAACTGTCTGATGTATTAGAATTCAATTTAGAAATGAAAGATTCAACATGAGGTTACAGAACATTATTCAGCCATGCCGGTTGATGTCTGGCGATAATAAATACATTTTCGAAGATTTGATTTTAAAAAGTTGTCTGGCGGTGAAAATGCTGCTTTATGAAATATTCCCCAGTAGCTTCATGCAGTTCTCAAAGGGTTAAAGTGTCGTTAATCAACTGTGAGTACTTTCTCTTT